AAAACAGACATTAATATTAATATGTGTTTGTTATATGTAATGTTAACGTGAAATATTGCAATTAAAATATAAAAATAAAAACTATCTTTGCTTTGGTTTAAAAAAAAAATTATTGGTATAAGAATTGCACTTATTGTGCCAACAAAATTTATTACATTTTGTTGGCAATGCTTTCTAAAATATGTAACAGTCGCTCTTGTCTTGCCGCAGTCTCTTCATACATATTTTTTCTTTCTTCCTTATTTTCTTTCGCAATTGCAACCAGATCTTTCAAAGCAGTTTCTTCAATTTTCTTACCTAAAACCAAGATAAGACAATGAAAAATCCATTCATTATGTATCCATATTGTATAAAATAATTAAGTAATTTGCAAAATTTTCTTCATGTAACAATTTTTACTTACGTTTTTTAGGTCTTTCATTAGTAGAAGTAAGTAAGGATGGTGATAGAGACATCTCTGGAGATGGAGATGTGGTGTCACTGTTGCTGCAAATAGAACTTCCAGATGGGATGTCATTTGCAGAATCCAAAGTTAGAATTGGATTTATCCATGGTTTATGGCCAAACATTTCGTCCATAATCTGTAAAATAACATACATAGTTGGATTCTCAGTTATATAATTTAATTTCTATTCTTAATCTGACAGTGAATAAATAATGAAGATACATACTTCGAAGAAAGGCCAAGTGCGCCTGTTGTTGCCACTTTTAGCGTTGTGGTCTTTAATGTTTTTATATGTTTTTTTTAAACTGTGAAATTTGCTTTTACATTGGGGTCCTGTAATGTTGTAGGACTTTTCCTTTATGAGAAATTATTTCCCAAAATTTCTTTACGGATACTTTTCCTTTGATCAACAGGTCTTCACGATCCTTGTATGCTGCCAACAATAACCTGACTGCTTGGTTTACCCATCTAAAACCATCTAAAAAAATAAATGTTACACACATATATATTATATTAAAAACTCATTTAAACTTTACTTGAAATAATAAATACGAGACACAGCATACCATTGTAAGTTTCACTATCATCGACAGCTTCTTTTTCTGTTGTATCATCGCTTTCTCTTAAATTTTTCTTTGCGTTTTCCAGCAATTTGGTACGGTATGTTAAATCTAAGAAAAGGGAAGAGATATTTTGTACCGACAAATTACACATATACTACGTTTACGCGAGCGTTACTTCTGTAGTAACTTACGATAATTCCTTCGCTTAAACGGGATTTTCCTTCGCGTAAACGGGATTTTGTAGTAACTTACGATAATTTACTCCGCGTAAACGGGTGAATTATCATAAGTTACTACAGAAGTAACACTCGCGTAAACGTAGTAATAGTTTCCTAACCTAATTTTCCTACATAT